AGATACATAAAAGTACATAAGCAACAACAGCTCTTAGAGCAATAAATTAGAAGTCTTTGTTGTCTTAGTGTATAGAAAGCATTGTTCTACCTGTAAGATTGGATAAGCCCTTTTCAAGGCGGACTTCTGATTTCCATGTGTAATTAATGATTTGTGATCTTTAGAGCCGCAAAATAATTCATGGTCCCTTTTTCCTTCCTCTGAACAGCCACTATGGAAGAGAGGTCAGGATTATAGCAAGGAGACCGGCACACAGAGTGTTAAGTGACTCACCCACTCAGTCTACCCGGAAGCTGTTACAGTTAATTAGCCCTCAGACTGCCCTGTGAGGTAGGTCAGCATTAAAGCCCGCAGAGGAATATGAAACACTTCACAAAGTCAAAGACCGCTCCATGCTAAAAGGCGTCACATTTTCCCACCCGGAAGTCAGTCACTGACAGGACTTGCTCCAGGTCCGGAACAAGCAGGGGTTAGACGTTCACACGTCCGCGTTGAGTCCAGCGTCCTTCCTTCTTACCTCCCGCTGCTTATCTTGGCTCCTGACTGACTGTCAGTGGCTTTCTGTGGTCTACCACGTGGGTGAGTCCCCCGCTTCCCAGACGGGTTATAACCCGGCTTTCCCTCCGTGGAGCTGCCCACCATCAGGCCTCTAACTCAGCTCCCTCTTCAGTTTATAGGCTGGTGACTTACATCTTTGTCTATGAGAATCCAGTGTCCCTGCTCTGCGGTGCTGTCATCATCTGGCGCTTTGCGGGCAATTTTGAGAGAAGTGTGGGCACTGTCCGCCACTGCTTCTTCACCCTGGTCTTCACCGTCATCTCTGCCATCATCTACCTGTCGTTTGAGGCCGTGTCATCGCTGACGAAGCTGGGGGAGGTGGAGGATGCCAGAGGTTTCACCCCGGTAGCTTTTGCCATGTTGGGGGTCAGCTCTGTCCGCACTCGGATGAGACGGGCCCTGGTGTTTGGGGTCGTTGTGCCCTCGGTGCTGGTACCATGGCTTCTACTGGGCGCCTCGTGGCTCATTCCCCAGACCTCTTTCATCAGTAATGTCTGTGGACTCATGATCGGGCTGACATGTATCCTTCCTAGAAGGGAATGTAGGGTGATGACATGTCAAGGGCTTCACCAGCTTGGAGGG